CACTGCAGACCTGCTTCAAAGCTCCTCCGTGATTGGTTCTGCTCTTCACGTCTTGGAAAAGGTCTCTCCCGGGCTATTGGTAAGTAAAATTAGATTTGATTGAATAATTGACATAATGATGTAAATCTTTCACTGCTTTTTTCATAAGCCAGAGTTCCGTAGCGCTGTCATGGTTGTCTTGGTTTAGTTTATCAAACAAAACCTAAAAATGTTTCAAAAAAAGAAGTTTAAGCGCGTTTTCAAATTCCTTTACCTGAACAAACTCGGTTTAAAAGTGACGATACCTCTCTAACCCCCGACTCCTAGAAATAGAAATGTACTGTGCTGAGCAGCTAATCCTAAAAAGAATAATCCCATGTTTTTACATAATGCACTTTCAGGAACTGTCGTTATCGGCTGTCGACTCGCAAACGAACTTCCTATGGTCTACCGTCCAGTTGAAAGACGTTGCTGATTTGTCGTTAGTCACTCGATCGGCCGAAAACTTAGGTTGGTGTCTTCAAAGCGTGCTAAAGATATCTGCAGAGATGGCGTCAATAGATTCCACCTTAGGCTTCCAAGAGCAGGTATTTTGTTAGCTGGTATAGTCCAACAGTGAAACCTAGTTACATATGAAACTTCAAGCTGCACTTGAGTCGGCTTCCCTCATTTTTAATTGACACATCGCGTGCTAGGCTGATGCTACTGTCAAATTATGTAATAAAGTTGCCACTATCGCTACTTACAATAGGTCGTCGCAAACCTTACAAGTGCCTGAAAAAAATTTTCATTGTCGTTGGTAAGCTCTTTTTGTTAGTTTAGCTTCGCTTCTTTTCGTTATTTTTACCTCTTATAAACAGTAGGTCGTCGCAAACCTTACAATTGCCTCTAAAAAATTTTCATTGTCTTTGCTAAGCCCTTTTTTTTAGTCTAGCTTTGCTTCTTTTTGTTAATCTTACTTGTTTGTGATGTTTTCTTTCATTTAACAGGGTGAAAGATCTGTTAATACTGCCCTTAAAGTGCTTGGAAAAGTTGCAGACGCATTGTTAGCCCTGAGAGTCTCGGATGAAAACATGATATCGATCTCCACCGGTCACCTGAAGATGACATTAGGGCGACATAGCCCGAATAAACTTGCAGGGCTGCAGATAAAGGGCGGAAGTGGCAGCTTCATTTTACCACCATGGCCCGTCACAGGAAGAAACACAACAAGTTTTGTCGACACCCAGGTAGGGGATTACATCAAAATAAGGAACGAGCGCATATCAAAATCGATTTAGCCGTGAGTGACTTCGGAAAGTCTGATAACCCAAGAGCAAACGCATTCGAAGGTACAGTCTTTGTTAGCCATCCTGAACTCCTTTTCTCGCTTGGCTTCCATAATTATGGTCAGTTAGCGATAATTATCATGTCTCTTAATCCTCAATTCCTTAAAGTCAACAAAAAGTTTTGATTTATTCTTATTGCAGATGCTATCAATGTCATTCAACCCCTACACCTGGGACAGCACCAAGGAGCGAGTCGACTCTGAGGTTCTATTTCTGGACTTAAAGGACAATAAAAGCGAGCTCTTGGAAGTGTCAAGTCTACCAGACGACATTGTTATCGTTATTCCATCAAAACCTCGGACAATGCCCAAGGAGCTATGGTACTTCACGACGGATGACGATTTACGTTTCCACGAGATAACTGTCAAGTACGAAAACACTCTGATACAGGTAGAAGTCAAACCCCAAGAGCCAACTGTACATCTGTTTGTTTACTTGCGATTTGGTCAACGGCCAACGACTCGAAACTACGATCTCAATGCCACAATCTCTCAAAATGGACAGTGTGTTTGGACTGCAAGTGCGCATGACAAAAAGGAGAGACAACCAGAATGCTCGTCGAACCCACCTACCCCAATAGCAACATTGGCCAGGCATCCTGGAAAATACTTTTTAGGCGTAAAAAACTATAATGTCACGACGACCACTCCACACAGGAGAAAGAAAAGAACGTGTTTTACAGCTGGACGGCAAAAGCGCTCTTGCGTCGAAATCAAAGATCCCCCACCTACCCTACTCATGAGTAAAACTGCATCTGTGACACCAGCTTATGATTCCAAAACCGATCAGAACTATACTCTGAGGGTGACCTTCGGTAGCTGTGTATACTGGTCAGCGAAAGTTGAGATGTGGGTAACAAAAGGCTGTCGGGTGAGTCGGTGTAAAGTGTTGACATTATCGAATAATTTTTATAATGTGGAATTAGTTCAGACACTTTTCAGAGAATTCGTGGGTTCACGTAATTGTGGAAAAATGAGTGCTCCATTGTGATCATCTTCGCTTATTTGGCAACTGAAAATCTAGAAGACAAAACTTTGTCGAGCCCGTGTGTAGTCTTCCATCGTAAAAAATAAAATTATTCTCATAGCTAATCACGACCTTTGAATACCTTTGAATGGACAAGACGCATCATTAGCACTGAAAACCGAAACAGTGATTTTCTCTCTGGACAATTCCAGATTTTAGGAGCATTGGACAGATTTATTAACTGCAGCTGCGATCACCTGACATCCTTCGGGGGAAGTCTTTTGGTTAAACCGAATCCTATCGACTTCGACAAGGTTCAAGTGCAGATTCAAAAGTTGCCAGAATCTGGAAATATCACAGTTATTTTGGCGGTGGCGTTGGTTTTCTTAAGTTACGTGATTGTGCTTGTTATCGTCAGGAAGACAGACATAGAAGACTCTAAAAATGTAAGTTCTGAACATATTTTGTATTATGTAGAACTTAATACGCTTTGAAAACTTGCAGAATTCATATTTTTCTAAGTATCCTCAAAAAAAGTGATCAGCAAACTTGGAAGAAATCACAATAATCATTTAAGGTTTCCAAGTTTTTTAATATCAACAATATATATATATTTTTTTTTTCTTTAAGTAAGGGAAAAAGTAAAAAAAAAGTAAATCACCGATTCATTAATGGTATTATCATTTTTCTTAAGAACGTTTTACCAGTCCATTTGCCATCCTCTCCAGAGAGTACATATGGATACGAGATAGTAATAACTACAGGAGTCTGGATATACTCAGGCACAACAGCTCAAGTTGCTATGGAGATTTACGGTTCTGACGGAAGGAGTGGCATTCTTCAGCTCAGCCAAGAAGAGACTGGTTCAATTGACGTGTTCTTCTCTCGTGGTAACTCGGCCATGTTTGTACTGTATGTTAACAAATCTCTTGGTGTGATTCGAGAAGTGAAGATTGGTCATAACAACTTTGGTGACAGTCCTTCGTGGTTTTTAGAGGAAATTTTCATTCGGGACGTACAATCCAATCAGTCTTGGAAATTTATGGTCAGTCAGTGGTTTGCTCTTGAGCGCGGAGACGGGCGTATCGAGCGAATGTTTCAAGCAACGGTATCTCAAATGGACTTTGCCAGTGAGGTTGCAAGACGCTGGCGGAGAGGGCTTACGGAGCTACATATCTGGGTGTCAGTTGCTGCCAAACCAAAGAGAAGTCACTTTTCAAGAGTACAGCGGGTTTCTTGCTGCCTTTCAGTGCTTTTGACATCCATGTTTGCAAACGCAATGTTTTATGAGCTCCAAGGAAAATATGAACAACCTATTCAAGTTGGACCGCTGAAATTCTCGTGGAGACAAGTAGTTACTGGTATTGAAAGTGCGCTCATTGTGGCACCAATAAACATACTAATAGTGCTTTTATTTAAAAAAGCATCCAAAAAGTCCTCGAGTAACAACAGTCCTTGCTATAAAGCTAATTTAATCAAAGGTATCGCCTGGTTCTTGTTTTTCGGTTCTTGTGCTATTTCTGCTACGTTTACAATCTTCTATAGCCTGATTTGGGAAAAGAGTGTCAGTGAGCAGTGGCTGTCCTCAATGCTTATCTCCTTTGCTCAAGATGTCACAATCATGGAACCAGTTAAAGTGTTCTTTACAGCTGTAGTTTTGGCGGCCATTATCAAGATGAAGGCGAAGAGATCAACGGTACCTGCATGTGAAGACTCTAATCAAGTTGAAAGCGGTTGCTCAAAACAAAGGCTGTGGACGTTGAAATTAGCGGAAGTAGAAAAGATGAGGAAACGCCAGGCCAAGAAACAGAACCTGTCACGTTATTTCACAGAGTTGGGTATCTACTTGGTTTTCGTTTTCTTGTTAATGGTAGTGTGCTATGGAAACAGAAATGACCATCGCTACTTAATGACCAGATCAATCCGAGATGGACTGCCCAATTTTAACAATGTGAGTAACATTTATTGTGTTTGGAGAAATCGTTAAAAGACTGATATTACCCAACGATTGATTCTGGATTGCCAAACCCTATTTGAAATCTATTTTCACGACATAAACGTATCCTCCAAAGCGTAAACACCTCTTTTCTTTATCGTGAATTATTGCTACTTTTCAAGTCCGTGGGTTGTGTATAGAACAACTGTTATGATCACATTTCGAATTTTGGTTAGAATCTGTATCAATTCTTCTCAGACTTTGCATCATAATGGCTTGGCTCCCTTACCTGTTTCTAAATATTCCTGATCCACCAGCGAGTCATGCCTCCATCCCAGTCCGTGAAATCCGACCAACACATCTCCCGTTCTTGACTTTCTTTTTATTTAGTCCGTTTTAAAGATCATATCCATAATAAGCGATACGAAAGGTGATGTAGTCACAAATTCTAAGTAACGTATTAATTTTTATTGAACTCAGATAGCAGATGACAGGAAGTACTGGAGCTGGCTGCGGGAAGTTTTCATTCCTGGAGTGTTTTCCGGTAGATGGTACAACGGTCAGGAAGAGAAAAAAACAATGTACATTGGTAATAAACGCTCTCTTCTCGTCGGGATGGCTCGATTAAGGCAACTGAGAGTGAAATCGAGTAAGTCCTTTCTTTTATTTACTTTTAAGTCTAACTCACCCTAAAGGAGACGCCTAGGAAATATAATTTTTTTTTTCTGTCAAAGTGTTAGGCATACGTTGTCAAGATTTTGATATTCTACTTTATTTTGTATTGGTCTGTACACCTTTTTTAGAAAAAAACGGGCACAAGTGAATATCCGGTTTTTAACTCGTGAATTGCGCGCATGCGCAAGAGCGAGTTATAGATACGATGTGGGGAATGGCATTCGCTCGCGCGCTCGCTCGATTGGTCGATTCCTGTAAACTTTTTTTAGATTTTAGGCTTTTGAGTGCATTTGATAGTTTATCCCAAATTGTAAATATTAGAAAATCAAGGCAATACTGTCTTAATGAAAACATTAACGATTCCCTCTTCATCAAATGAGACAAACGGGAACGAGTTTTGAGTGATATAACTAAGCCGAGCCTGCCACCGTCATTTTGGATCTCCGCCTGGGTAGATTTGAGTCACGTGCTAGGCAACGTATAATCAATAACAAGATAGAATTTCATTTCAGGCCTATTTATCAATTTTGTGGTGTGTAACTTTCGCATTTTAGTACGTTGTATGTATGTTGAATCTTCAAATTGTCTTGAAACTTAAAAGAAAATTGTTCTTTAAAAATTCACTGAAAATCGGTAGCTAAAATTGTTTGTTTAGGTGTTATTTGATTTTCGTGTTAACTTGTTATTTCGTCAGACGCCGGCATCTTCTATTGCCTCACACAGGAAAAACACATGCAACGAAACGTAATGATCATTTTTGTCCTCAATCTCACGCCATAACAGAAAAAGCTTTTGAACATCCGTAAACTCCGAGCGCTTCGCAGTAAGTGACATTCTCAATGAATCTTCGGATTGTTTTCGAGTTCAAGGATTGTAAATTACAATTTTATGAAAAACGAAGGTTGTTCTGTTATTTCAGTGTGAATCCTTGCATGCCTGCCAGTCGCTGGCGCCGCTTGTTGAAACTAAAACGAAAAAAAAAAACTCTCTTAAGATTATCATTGGCTTCTTTTTCACCCCACCACTATTCTTAGCAACAAAGGTCGCCATTTCGTCTGTTTACTGCTCGCCTATCAAATAAACGATGCCCTTCTGGATGCAAAGGATACCGCGAACGAAAGTGAGTTGCACGAACTTGTTGATGAGGTTCGTTGCAAAGGCTCAAAAGAACGGAACGCATTTTTCGATGCTGTCAGCAGTAGACTGAGACAACTGAAAGTCGTCCAAGCATCAAACATGGAAGAGAAAAAAGCAGTAGATAGAAGCATTACCCTTGATTCCACGAAGACTTTGACCACATCAGTGAGGCCATCAAAGCTTTGAGGGGAAAAACAGGTCAAGAACCAGGAGAAAAACAGTCGAAATACTCAAAAGGAAAATCATTTTTCGATGGAATTAGCAAATTCTTGAAAACACTGGGAAGAATGAGCCATGACGAACACTGCAAAGTTAAAAAAAGGAAGAAAGTTCGATTCCAAGAGGATGTTGCTAACTCTCATCTTCGGAAATTAGAGAAAAGAGAGTATGACCTGTTTCAGCGGCTTGATAGGGTTATGGCGGGATTCTCAAAAGAGGACGAAGAATATCGTTATCTAATGGAAACAACGCGAGCTTATGACTTCTAAGGAGAGAGGAAATAGATAAATGGTGAAAGGAATGGATCATATACTCGAGAATTAGACTGAAAGATCGAGACTGTAGTCTACATTACCCCGTGACCATTAGCAAATGGCTGAAATGCTTCGCACGTATACGTATTAAATGTTGAGTTTCTCTTCTTTATAATTGAATTTCACGCTTAAAATAAATAAAAACTTGATAAAGGATGGCAACATAGAGGTGGCAACAAAATTGTAGAGGCGATCGGGTAGAAATAATTTTTTGCCACTTTCCTTCAAAGTGTATTATGTTTGTATGTAGGTCCATCTAAATTAGATAATTAAAACGTAGCTTTACGACCTGTAGATTAGTTTCTTGAAGCGGTGCTTAGGGAAAGGCTTCGTTAGATTGTCAGCAATCATCTCATCAGTGGCAAGATATTTTAAGAAAACCCACTCATTTGCAGTAAATTGGCAACCAATTTTGTTAAGTCCACTTATATACTTTGTTAGCGACGACTGATCCTTCCTCCGTTCCCCCTGAAAACCATCTATTCCCCACCACCGATTTATGGCGCGGGTTTCAATATTTTGGTGAGCATCGAATGTTGTCTCAAAGTATCAAAAACACCAAATCAACAAAAAAAAGTTACAACTCCATGAATCAACGGAAAAAAAATAATTAGGAGAATATCACTTTATTGCATTTTCATCCTTAATGTTACTCAATATAGTTCACGTTAGATGTCTGTGACATTTCATGCTTTAAATACTAATTGAAAAGGATATTTTTATTTTCTTGATGGCGTCCGAAAAGCAACTAATTTCCTTTCCTTAAAGCTCAAAATATATTAAGTGTTGACGACTTGTTCGCTTTTTGTTTCGACAAAGGACTGCTAGCAGAATTCCTTAACAGGGGAGGGGAGGGTCCTACTTCAGAGTGTCTCGAGTATATTTTTTTTCATTTCAAAAATTGTCAAAATTATTTTTTGATGCACTCACGCGCTATAGTTACGCATCTGGGTTGTTTTGCTAAGGGCAGTTGATTTCTCTCCCAGGCTCACCATAATGTGATGATCATATGATATTTCTGATATGTCTTGTTTTAATTTTTAAGTCAACCACTTATTAGCAAGCTAATGTTACTCAGTCATTAAATGACGTCAAGAGACGATTGAGGTATGTCTGAGATTAATGCAAATGGCTTGAACATGGTCAGAGATATCAACACGTAGTGCAATACGAGATTAAAATGAAATTTTTGGGTACTGCTCTATAAACTCGGGTGCCACTTTACAATATACCATCACTTTCAAAGAGGATTGCTTAAACTAGAAATCTGTAAAGTTTCTGAGAAAAAAAGCAGTAATACCTAAGACCATTTATCCATGGTTTCTATATTGTTCAGCGTCGTCGATAACACTCGTTGATCTTGAAATTCCAGCCGCGTGACAAGAAGAAATATTCGCGGTAGAAACTGCTTAAAGTTAGAAAGAACGGTCGATCAAGAAGCGCATATTGTCCTGGAAAGAGCCAATGTCCATGAAAGTGATGGGCACTAATTTCATGCCTCGCGGAGAGGAAGTCAGATGAAAAATTGGTGATCACTTAAATAGTTCACTTATCCAAACAATTATACTTCACTATCAGCTTTAATAACTTTACTTCTCAACTAATTCATTATTTGATTCTTTCTTTATAAAGGTGGTTTTAAAATATGGATTCCTCTGTGAGTAATGTTTAAAACCTTCTCAATATTATTCGATAGCTAACGCTTCTAAATTCATCGTGTTGACTAATTGTACATTCAAAATACAATCCTGTGGCAAATATATTCTTTTGTGTCAGGTGTGTAATCTGTTATGGTCCATTGGCAAAGAAAACGCGGTGTAATTTCAGAAAATATTACCTACAATATCTTCTTACTGATTATTAAAATAAACAGTGTTTGAAAACTGGAACGAGAGTCAGTTTGTTAATTCCTCAAGGCTGGATGTTTTGTCTTTTATTGACACGTTGTCGAGTAACCAATTTGCACACGACCAGAGGTTAACGTAATCTCTTACGTAAATACGAAGCCAAGACATTGACACCTAAAAGCTGCAAATTGTTTACAAAGTGAAAACAATCGAGGGCACTCACATGTATGAAAACTTTCCTGATCAGTTGGCTGACGGTTGTTAAGATGCTCTCGAGAACAATACTTTCATTCTTACTTGAGTGAGGTAAGTTTTGTTTCGAAAAATCATCTTTTCGGTAGAGAGGATATTGAAATTCTCGGCTTCAGCGGAGCACAAGTCAATATTGTGTTTAAGATTATGACAATCTAATCCCTTGCCATACAAACTCTCACGCAGTCTCTAAACTTAAAGAAAGTCAAACACAAAACTATCCGTCCTAATTTATTTTGTCAGACATCGATAGATACTTCTGACATGCCTGGGATGGTTTAACAATTGCTCTCAAAAGTGGAAATCACAGCTACATTTCTTTCCAAATAAATCTCTCCTAACTGATTTTACGATATAATCACTTCTTAAACAACGCAGGTATTTCAACTTATGCAATCACAGTGACTGAGTTTGTTTATTCAGTATGAGGCAACTCACGTATTTTTACGACAGCTAGGGCATTCGGTCATCACTAGAAACTTCTCTTGTTTTGAATGAAGGCACTTAAAATTAAAATAACACTTAAAATTCCCCATCTCAAAATAATGTAACCTATAAGCGTTGTGGCTCACGATGTTGCCTTTTCACTCAACATCGCGTCGAATTGTTATGGTAGCGAGATCTAGCCGTGTAGCTCAAGGGAAACTATTGTAACAATAAACTACAGCAAAAAAAAGAAAGGAGTTAAAAATGTGCTTGCAGTGTAAACTAGCCTAGTAGCTCAAGTTGAACTTTTAAAAGAGATTATTATTATTTTAAAGTGGCAAATTGCGGCAATGTGAACGCAGTAGATTTATGCGAAAACGATGAATGAGGGTAATTGATTATTTGTTCTATTTTTTCCCTCAAAAGAAAAGCAAACCTCCGTTAACACGAAAAGAGAAGGCAGACCCTTGCACTTTCTTTATTCGCGCGACGCCGTTTTTTTTCCGCAGACTCAACGAAAAAACAACTGCAACAGGAAGTGCTAGCTTAAAGGCTACATCTCGACTGATATTTAATTCGAACTTAGTGCGTGGTTTACGGCTATGATCATGATTCTCTCTCTTCTAGAGGCCTTAGTTTCCCTAACTCTGCATTCCGTTGCTATTGTTCTGCTATTGCTCTGCTCATTATATCTTTTGTTTTGCTTCGTCTCCGTTGCCGATTTGTTAAAGGTCTCTAATCCACGACGGCGACGGTAACGATGACTCGGTAAAACAAAAGATTTAATGGCCTATGAGCTCAGCAAGTGCGTTTTTTAAAGTTTTGTATATTTTTTAGCCGTCTTCTGAAAAAAAAAATACATAAAAACTATGAAATCATCAAAATTCGCCGTGTTGTGAGAACAGAATCCCAAAAAGAAATCTGTATAAGTTCGCATTCGGAACACAACGATGCCCACATACGTCATGCCCGGAGTTGAGGTGACGAATCGGTACGAACACGTAGACACTCCATCTACCCACACGATCGTTCACGAGCTGCACAATCGGAATATAACTGATTCAGCTACCAGCTGATCATCTGAGTGTTGTGTCCCTTCAGTAAATCGCGCAGATGATGGTGAATTTCTTTTCTTTTTTCTCTTTTTTGTGAGACAAAAGGAACCTTCTCGATCCGACCATGCAAAAATCATATCGAGACAGAGACGAAGCATCCATTTACCACTGCAGAGTTCGCACTAAAATTTCTCCGGCACATGTTGTATTCTGTTCTTGTGCAAGACACTTTATCCTCACAGTGCCTCGCTCCATCTAGGAGTTTAAACGGGTACCTGTGAACTGACAGAAAAAAGAAAAACCTGAAGAAATGCTGAGCAGGGAGTTGGGAAGGGGGGGGGATGTCACGGACTAGCATTCCAGCCAGGGGGAGAATTGCAATACTTCTTGTCACTTCACGCTACAGAAACAAGAATAGGCTGTTGCTGGATAGGCATCTTGGCTTGAGTACAGATTTATCTCTCTATGCACTCAATAAGAAATAAATGGCGCGCAGAAGGCTTGAATCGAGGCAATGAAGTTTTTTTTGTCTCCGCTTCAGACCGAGAAAATTCCAACATCGCTCTGTCAATGTTCACAGTTTTAATGTGATCTTTCATAACTACTTTGATCCAGTCGATCTGATCACTGAGGACGCTTTCCGCCAATAATTTAAAAATTTCCCGCTTTTAACCCTCTACGTACAGGCTATTTGCTCAAATTATCTAGCCAGTCTTCATCAATCACTCTCATTATCCACGGAACTTGCATAAGAAGATGACCGTCTCATTTCTTAAATGAAGAAAGGAAAGCCCCCACCACTGAAAGGCCCTTGACTCCATGCCCCTATCTACATGATTAATGCTCCTTCCTAGTTTCCCATGAATAAATTCTTTGATAGCCAGTGATTGGTTTTAATGAGGTAAAGGGCTGTACAGTAATAACCCCCTTGCAGCTCTGCTTTTTAGGCTTGGCTACATCTAAATATTATCAATTGTTCTTTTGCTTCATAAAAGTTGATCATTATTCTTTTTTTGACTTGTTCTACTTTCTAATAGTCCAATATCTTCATCATGGGAAACTCTATTGATTGCTGTTACGCCACTCGTCAATACAACCAGTGTTTCTTCCCGTGCATTCGGTCGTGTTCGTACACCACTCGGCGAGTCTGGTACAATTACGATGGTTTGGAGACTGTGCAACCTTTGATTGACATCATTAAGCCTGAGAAGGGTGTGATCCGAAAGTTTCCGAAGTCACTAGCGGACATCAATACAGACAGAGAAATAGCGAGTGAACTGGCAATAGGTAAAGTATCATCACACATCAATGTGAAATGGAATGATATGTTAATATCACAATATTAATGTTGAGGATTGCTTTTCATAAACCTGTAGAGAGTAGCTAAGAAACTAAACAAATTTCATTCTTCTGCAAAATTGTAACCAAAAATTTCAGTATTTAACACTTGTTGCTCGAAATTGGAATAGCTACGGAGACCTTGGTGCTGAAATACACGGGCTAATGTATCCAGAACTGGTATTTAAGAAAAAAGGTAATTGTCACTCTCAGTTTGTGCTGAGAAGAAGTAGTTGGAAGTCTGGACACAAGGCTGACAGAGAGGAAATTTTAAAACTTCTCTGCAGGGGGGGGGGAAGTGAAATTCGCGTTCGGGTACCGATCAGTGTAGGCCTCAAGAACTAGATGAAAAGTTTGTAAACAGAACCATTAGAAAGGATGAAACTGTTTACACGCCTTTTGCATGCTCATCCATACGAGTTTTTCACTGGAAAGAGGTGTTGAAACTGTTTGAGGAATTTGTCTAGATCTTGCCTTCACGATTACCTGAGTACACGTAGATATGCGTGTAGTTTTCTAAATAACATTAACTAGCAAAGATTGTCCTTCGAACTGAAGTTCTTGGATAAAATTTAATATCGTTAACTTTTTTAAATCCGTAAATCACACAGGCCTTGATACACCAGGACAGCTGGCCGCTATTTGTCGCTTTGCTAGTAACTACGGTTACCGTGTGCGAGCTGTGGGGACTGGGTCCTCATGGTCGCGTTTGACCAGTACACGTGACATTTTGATTGACATGACAAACTTGAACAGGATTTTAACACCAAAACCTGCCAAAAGAAAAGACAATTTGAAGCAGGAGTTTGTAGATATTGAGGTGGAAGGAGGAATGCAAGTGCATCGCTTTGTGGAAAAGCTAGACAAGGTCTACGGGCTGGCGCTACCCATGATGGGAAATTACGCTGGTCAGACAGTGGCTGGGGTGGCCTGTACATCAACTCATGGCTCGGGTTACTTTACCGGCACCATGGTATGTATCACGTCTAGAAAGAATTTATTATTACAGATTTCGCCTTCTCTATTTTTATTCTTGTACCAGTTTTCAAACACAAACTTTTACCAATCCGGGATTGAAAATGAATTTTTTTTAAACCGCCCTCCACAAAATAATAATAATAATAATAATAATAATAATTATTATTATTATTATTATATTTAAATAATATATTAGCCTCTCTCATAATAACAGGTAAGATTGATGCCAGCTTTCTTGGCCTCTCTTTTTATAATGGACTGGGCTTCCGTAACTAATTATTGTAAGCTATGGTTGATTTAAATTTCTCCTCAAGAGAGTCTTGATTAACGGTTGAAGTTTCAAGACTCAACATTTTCAAATTTCGAGCATTAAAACTCCAATATTTAATCAGTGTACTCAAAGAAGATTACATAGGTCGCAAAATAAGCTAAAACTTTTCCAAGGAACAAATGCAAAGTAGTAACTCACGAATGAAATTACACAGAATGATAAAAGCAAAATAGAGACGAATTTACAGGATTATAAAGAATAAACAGACGCCCTACACGAAGCTGCGTGATTGTCTGCCAAGGATCTTGTCATCACTACCGGTAACCTTTTCAGAGCTACATGGTGTACCCTCAGTCAAATTACGTGACCTTCTTAACAAAATTTTTAGCGTTCGTCTTACCAACGGCAACCTTATAACTATTTTTCGGGTTTTTTGTGGGCAGCTTTGTTTTTGTCACACAACTAACAAAAAATTATATTTCACTCTCCCCAGTCTACTTCAGTCGTCGGTTTTCACCTCATTATTTCAACCGGCATCCAAGTGAGGCTGAGTCATGGAGAAGAGACTTTTGACCAGTGTCAGGAAAAGATCAAGCATGCGCAGTTCGGGGGCGCCCCCGTTGAGTTGAAAAGCACCGAGGTGTTCAGAGCGGTAGCTGTGAGCTTGGGTTCGATGGGAATTATTTACTCTATTACATACCGCTGTATTTCCGTATACAAGATCGAAGAAGAGCGCACTGAGGTGAAAATTCCATGGCCCGGGAAAGAGAAATTCCGCGTAAAACAGAAATTTGAACCCATGTTCACCAATAGAGCGGAAGGAGAGTTTTTCTCGTTTTTTGTGAATCCATATCCAGCGCATAAAAGGTACCTAAAATAAAAGAGAGAACGGTCTCGTAAGGGTTCGGTCATTATTTGTCACCTGTTGGGGGGGATATGTGGGGGATTTGGAAGATTTTGGTTACGTCACGATACAATTTACCAGAACCCCCCACAAAGGGTCTGTAATAATCTAATGATTTCCCCTCTGCCCCCCTCCCCCACACACGCACACTGGCAGGTATTTAGCAGTCTATTTTCTATACTCCCCCGATAATAACATGTTGGTGGCGACTGATCCTTCTCCCCCCCTCAGTTCGGCCTGAAATTCATGTGATCCTCCCAAAGTCCTCCCACACCCACCCACCCAGGTGATAGATATTGACATTTAATGAATGAGTTTTTTTTGTATGCTCTAAGGTTTACAGAATTCATACCGCAGTTGACAAGAATCGAAATTACCAGTAATAATGTTTTCATGGGTGCCTTTTCTCAGTTTTTAATTTGTCATGGAAAAGGTCTTACCTTATAGTTTAATTTACATCCAACTTTTCTACAATAAGTAAATAAACAATTTTGAAACAGAACAATGCAGAAAGTTGCAAATCGTTACATGCAATGAGGGCCGCTCTATCTATGTTAGTGCTTTATTACCTCGGATTTATAGCTGTAGAAGCAAAATTGAATTTACCTTATATACCTTTTTTTTAATGCAGATTCTTGTATGCAGCCTACCTAAAAGGGAAGAGAACATCCCGCCGATCCACATGCTGCGCCTGCTGTTCTTGGTGGTGTTGTAAAGGCGGTAGAGGATGCGTAGATGTGGAATGCGTGCAAACAGACTGTATAGCGTCATGTCTTCAAACATGCGCTTCGTGTTGCCCAACTAGAATACCAGATATCACAAACTGTGGTGTTTCGCAGTTCTCTCGCGAGCATTCCTACGTGCAGAGATGGTATAATGTGCTGCAATTCACCAAGGGAAACATGCAGTGAGTGTTAAGATTGTGTTTATAGAACTGACATAGATAATTAATAGAATTATATGAAATAAAACATATGTGGACTTGTGGATGAAATTCAAAAAGAGAAATGGGCCTCGCAGGTGAGCTGTTATCAATTAGGTACAGCTTCAAGTTTTGTCGAAGTTTTTTTTTTAGGCTATTTTTTCCGCAGTTAGCTTGCGATGATCGTTTCTATATCTTAAGAGCAGATAGGGATCAGTCATTATTTAAAACTGGTAAAAAGGGAATAGGGAATTGGAGGAGCGAAGGGGGAAATCAGTACGTCGTCACTAATGGAGTATTAACGGGGACTGTTATAAACTAATGACCGATTCAGCGAGGAAAAGGAGCATGATGACGATTTTGTTCAGGCTGATTTGGATAAACGAGGTACAACTAAATTTTTAGCAGATGTTCACCTATCTACGACAGTTATTTTCGTTCCTTTATGAGGCGTTAAGTGCTGGGTTGTAAATATACACCGCCTGCATATATTTTTGACGTTGGTATTTATACATAACCATGAGAGAAATTTACAGTTGCAATGTGAAAAGATCATTAAAATACCAAAGAGCCGTAAGAGAGGATCAGGTAAATTTAATTGGGACACGACCACCATCTTGATATTAAACGCCGTTTGTATCTCGCCCTTTCAGCGTGCGCACAGCTGAATTTTGTCTTCCGCTGTCCCAGTTGGACGAGGCTTTGGGTGACGTCATTGAAACAGCCAATCAGTACGCCGATAAGTTTTCCCAGTACTCTTTGCTACCCATTTACGTGCGAATAGTAAAGACAGACGATTTGTATCTGAGTCCAGCCAACGGGAGATGTCCGCAAGGAGGACAACACGACCACGCTTGTTATATTGAGGTAAACAACGATCAAGTGGAAGAGCGCATATGTTTTATTGCTTCATTTATATTTTACAGTGCTAACTGTTCATCACCGGGGGCGGGTTCAGATACTTGATAGGGGGGCGGGGGGATCCAGACTCACGCCCACAACCCCATCCCCATTCCCCTGCTTTCGTAACCACTCGGCCGCACTGCTTTCCTCAAAATAATATTCGACTTCTTCCACTTCTCAGGTTCCATTTTTACCGGGTGCATTTGGCATTGAGGAGTATCACAAGACCATTGAGGACAAACTGTTCTATAAATACAAAGCACGACCTCACTGGAGTAAGAACAACCACCTCACCACAGGGAGGGTCATTGAACTATACCCAGAGCTTGAACAATGGAAAAAAGTCTTTAGAATGTTCAACTCCACTGGAATATTCTGCAATGAATTTACACATAACATGGGCTTCGACACGTGTATTGCAGATCTCGTAAGACCTAGGAACGCACCGGGTATTGGGATTGAAAATGACGGTCTTGAAATAGAAGATGTCATTACAGTTGAACCAATAAATTGAATTGAATGCTTTACTCACGCCAAAACCGCTGCGATACTTCAGAAGAAGTGTTAGATCTGTGAAAAACTTCTTTAGAACAAATGATGAAGTTAGATATAGAATCGGAACAAAACATTCCCCTCAGTGAGAGCAGGGCATTTCCTTAGTTGTGTTGAACCCAATAGGATATAATTTTTTTGTACAAACTATGACAACCGAAGAGACAAGTAAATTATCTTTGCCAGAAAAGTTTTACAAGAACAGTCTACGCGCTGACGACAGCAAGATACTCCATGATCAGGTTGCGCGTAGACAGGGCATAAACAAGAAGAAAGCCGCCAAGTGGGATTTTAGAGCCACTGTGGAGAAGAAGGTGCAAGAAATTTCTCAAATTTTATGGCTGTTGCGATATTATTCCATAAATTTAATGTATTATGCTTATTAGCTTTTTCGGCTCTGTTACATTGCCTAAGCTGTTTTAATTCGTACCCTCGCATGATGTTAATAAATGTAGTAGGATCAGTGTCAGTATTGCGAGCAAGCTATGCCGTCATCTGTACGTGACTATGATACTTTTTAAAAGTAAAATGTAAAAAAAGGAAATCACATCTTGTTTGAAAAAATTTGCGTTATAACGCGAATATCTTTGTTCACAAAGTTTCTCCTAATGAAATCAATCAACAAATGACCCTTAACTTCTCCTTCAGCTCGCGTTTCACGTCTGATCGTAAAAAATTGAAACGGGGTCACAATGTTGTTTGGTTTGCAACAAAACACTATTTTTTTTGTTCAGCGATGCTTGGAATAAACGCTAGAAAGAGGTTTTAGGGCGAAAATTTGCGTGTTCAAGGTGAGGAGCAATTAAAAGAACTGAAGAAAATCACTAAGTGTTTAAGATTTTACCTCTTGGGATTGCTTCGGAAGCTTCAAAAAAGTCACGGGATCACTCACTTTCAAGAGCATAGTGCCGCTACTCGTTTTCTTGTTACTCCGTTTCACTGTGTTACTCCGTTTAGTAACACCCCCGTCATGGAGGGAAAAGGAGTGTGTTCCTTTTAGAACATTTTTATTTCACTTGTATTTTCTGTGCCTTGTAGTTGTTGTAACTGCCCAGTTGCTCTGCACAAAATCTTTTTTGTCGCGTCTTTCCTTTACAAAATTACAATCGTTGACCTTGGCGTGTCCGCACACATAACGGGATTGCGTAATAATCGAAAAGAAAACACTGGTGTATTAGCTTTCTAGACATTATTCTTCAACTATCCTAAGGCACGGAGGCCCTTTTATTTTTCCAAATACTCCGGGTTGGAAATATCTCGACCTGAGGTGTGAAGTCATCAAATTGTATTTGTTGGCTAAAGGCGCTAATCTAATTTCAAAGCTTACTTCGGGTTAATCATATTAATGTACTTCGTACAGATCTTTCGAAGCAACGATCTCCATCCAAATACTTTGATAAAGACGACCGATAAGGGCACTTGCGATCTAGAGCGCGAGAATATTCTTTTCGCAGGTCACCAAGAAATGCAATTAAAGGTGGCGCTGATATTGAAATGACTTTGTAAGAGGGCGATTAAACATAAATTTTTCTGTTTAGACTGCCAATGTGTAGCAGTAAGCTGAAGCGAAACATTTTATAACGATTATTTTATCCCTGCTTTCTGCACTGCGAGAATAAAAATAATCACGAAAGTTGGATCATGATCAGCTCTTAGATAATCATCAGTTCCACTATTCGGGGATTCCCCGTCTAGGACTCTGAAGATATTTGCGTTTACATTAGTCGATGGCTAGCATCTTGCGACTAGAGAAATAGTTCTAATAATAATAAAGGCTGAGACAATTTTATTTGTTTCTTTATAAAATAGAACTTAACGAAATTTGAACCGCCTATGGCCAAAGCAGTAAACATTTTTCGTTAAAACTCAATTCGGATGATCATTACAACCGTTCAATTTAATAAATATACAAAAAAATTGCATTTACTGATTTGGCAAAAGCAAACTTATTGGATAGAGAAGTTACTTCTTCTTATCACAAAAGAAGTCTTGTTAGAATCAAGAAGCTAGAGTTGCTCTCGGCTACGCCTCGAGCAACTCTTACGCATCTTTCGCGCTCTCCAAACTTCCCGCGTGCTTCATATCTCGATGAACGCACGCTGACGTAGGAACCAATTGTTAATTATCAACTCATTTGATAATACTAAATTACCCTGTTTCCTTTTCTGGCACCGGTTGTTCGAAGCATGGATAACACTATCCACTGGATAGGAATTTATCTTTCGGATAGCGTTATCCGCCCTTCATACTACAGGACCCTGTAATACAGAAAATGCTGAGAATGCAATGCATTTTGGTTTTCCGATTGCCGCAGTGATACTTAGGACATAGTCCTCGATGGCAACTGACAGCGCTCGGCTATCTGTTCCACTCGGTCCCAGACGCATCTACGATAGATCGGCAACATAATAAAATTGGCACTGAATGAGCACAATTCCATCTATTAATACAGAATTGTGGGAAAAATGGAGTTGTTATGTCATAGTTTTTCTCACCGGCCACCGCAGATAATGTTCACATAACTTTTTCATTGCCGACAACAGCTGGCTTGCCTGAGAAGTTGTACTCAGCTCAACTGTGCAGGCAAGACGGCAGTCAATGCCTGGGACAGATTAAGAGTCGGAGAGAAATCTTCACAGATTCCGTAACGTAGCCAAGGTCGTTCGCTCAAAATGGTAGCTTTAGACACTCTTTACGGTACCAAATCATCTCTTGATACTCCCCAACCGACGCGGCACCACAGTTTCTCTAGAAACTTATTCCCTTTCACCTCGAGTAGAGTTCTAATCAAACTACAATTAGTGAGTTTTTAATGCCTCTCAAAATCACTTTCTCTTTTCTTTATGCGTAGATCATGGAGAACTCTTTGAAATACCACCATGCAGTTAAGGCCTTTAACAACTATAGGAGGAGTCTCAGTCAGTTACAGCTTCATCAACGAAAGTTCTCTTTATCGTTCCATGAGGCCTGTGGCTTGACGAAGGTACAGTTCCACAAATTGATGGACGCGTACAAGGTACCAGAATATCGACAACACGGGTCAGAAGCTGTGTCTATTTCCGTGCCGTCCGCGGAGGGGGGAGGCTGCATGAACAAGACCATTTTTCTGTTCTCTACATCAAGAGCGAAGAAGTATAATGTTATCGTGGCTGAGGTGTCCTCTTCGATTGGCTTTTACTGGAAAGGGTAACCGATTAAAAGCGACACGTTATTCTTATTTTATTTATACTTTATATGTTATAATTTATGCAATGAACAAAACTGCTTCATTTTGTTTTCTTTTCAGCGAGCATTGTCTTCGTTTTTTTCTCGCAGGATTGGTCTAATTGTGTTCTGCTCATTTTTGGTGAGCGCAGTACTGTATATCTTTCATCCTTCCTTGGGAATCATTGCTGCTGCAGTTTGCGTAATCATAATCGCGACCATTGCCGTCAAATACCGAGAGCCCGTCGAATTCCAAGACATCACCACCGGGTTTATGATTCAGCAACTGATAGACGCGGGTAGACTGGTGGATGTTGGAGAAAGATTCGAAGTTGTTTACGGCGAAAATCATGGTATTCTCCAATAGTTAGTAAACATCGCCAAAAACTGAACGTACTTCACCGCTATGACCTGGAATATTTCAAAACTTAACTCACTGAAACAAATGAGTTCCAAAATTTTCCAATGGAAATCAGAATGAGGTCATAAGGAGCCGCAATGACAAAGGAGCGAGCAATAAATTTTAGGTAGAATGAATCTATTAAATTAGCTAGCAGATTTTGGAGCACAAAAACGCATTCTTTTGTAATCAGGTAATTTTATATTATCTGCTGAGTTAGTAACGTAAATTCGGCACCGTAAAGATTTTAAAAGCTGACGTTTCGAGCATCTGCCCTTCGTCAGAGCGATAGACGAAGGGCTAACGCGCAATTTACGTTATCAACTCGGTTGATACTACTGTTGTACCTTAATTTACCACCGACGCAGTACTACAGTTTCTTTAGAAACTTTACCCTTTGCTCTGTTGTCATTTGCTTCATTCTGGTTCCCAAAACCATGTTATGAACACAACTTTCGTGGTATGCCCTGGAATAATGCAAACAACCCCGTTCCCAGGGTCTCTCCTCGTCTCTCGCTGCAAAGGAAGGGAGGAAGAGAGACCCTGAGAACGAAGTTGTAATCAAAAACGATTTTAAATGAAATGCCAAGAGTAAACTCAGATTGCATTAGCTTCTTGATTGACTTAGATTAATTATTGCTCCACGGTTTAAGAGATTAAAATTTAGCATATCGAACCGGAAGATTTTGCGAAATTTGAGATCGGCAAAGGGTTACTACGTTTTCCCTTTTAAGCATGCGTATTTCTCCATACAACTGTACTCTGGGGAAAACCACATCATGTTGAGTGCGCACGCATTGTGAACTGCTGTCACGAACATCTCAGTTAGTCAGAACTTCGTTGGAATTTCGCGTATTTTCATGCTTGCGCAACCATTTACCGCAAAAAATCTCGTTGATATTTTCTAAACAAACTCGAAGGCCAAAATGGAAACTTTACCAATTAATTACACGAGAATTAACTCTATTGAGAGAAAGGAGATGAAGTTGTTTCTTTATGGTTTAGGCTATTGCCACGAAAGTGGTCATCCAAGAACGAAACACCACTTTTTATTTGGACGACACTAAACATTGGCTGAAAGGTGGAAAGGCTAGAAAATTTTGAATACTTGACTCAAGGAAAAGACAAAATAATTGTGCAAAACGTTAGGGGCCACGACATTAGCGCTAATTTTTTCTTTCGGGGTTTTCCTTGATCACTCGGGCAATATTTGCTAGCGCGCATTTGCTTACGTGGCACGCGAGGGGAATGCGATTTATTGCAACTGAGACCTCTAGTAAGCCGCCTTGAAAAAAAATTCGCCGTATACCCTCTCAAAATACATTGCAATCACACACTGGTGACTCTAAAATGAACTTAAAAGGTTTGTAAAAGATTATGACAAATTTAAGTAACAATAAAAAGGTAAAAATTGCTCATTCAGAAACGAGGAATACAGATTTAAGGTATCTGAGAATGATCAGGTTTAAGTACAGTAATGATTTGATTTAGCGCCCTCGTCCCATTAAGCTCCTTCTCTTTAATAAGCGCTCCCCTTTAATTTGTTCTTGTTATTATTAAGCACCCCTATTCTAACAAGGAGGATTTTGGTTCTGTCACGAAAGAAATGACTTAGTCCCCTTATAAGGCTCTACTATATTATTATGATTCTCCCTCATTGGCGGTCCGTTTTATAAAGACTACCGTTGCCACTGGAATCCATATCATTACCCCGAAAAAAGTCCACCTATTCCCTCTCCACAGCATTTTCTGCGTTAGTATCCTCGTTAATATCCTCAGGTGGGCTGCTCAGCACGATCACGTGATTATTGTGGATAAAGGAAATTTCCCCTCTGGAAGTCACAATCAGATTATTTGCGTCAATGAGCTGCCGAATCATGTAACTAATGGTAATGTCTTCAAAGTCGTGGTGACTTTCTTCATAGACCACCTTGCCTGCGATAGTGATTGTGCATACTGCGCCGGATAAGAGCCCCACCACAGGGTTGAGTAAATAAAGTGCACCTGACACAACAACCGAAGTACCAACAGCAACTGCCAGCCTGTAAGGGACAAAAAAAGAAAAATAGAATCAGAAAAGTTTTCGCCACGAATTTTGTGGCAAACACT